TTAGTATGTCCTTGCTAATATTTTCCTAAAAAGAAAATCACAGGGCCACAGAACTGTCACCAGCTGCTTCCCATTAGGAATGTGGTTAGCAGATGTGGGTTTTCATAGTCATAATGCATGAGAGAGATAGTCCATTTTTGCGGGTTTCAGATGGATAATGATTTATCAGGGCTGGGGATTTAGCTCAGTGCTATAAGCACCTGCTTGGGGAAGCATGTAGTCATGAGTTCGATCCCCGGTACCAAAAAAAAAAAAAAAAAAAGATAATGATTTATCTTGGTGAGATGAATTTTAAAATGTGCTTACATCAGCTAAAACATATACCCACCTTTCTTCCCCTTACTATGTATTTGTGTTGGAGAGGAAATAATACCAATGTTTTTCTCAGAAGGAAAACTAGTACTGTCCATTAAAAGGGATAGCTGTTCTCATTTTCTTCTATCTGGGAAAGCACCCATTGGATTGGTTATTTTATGTTTATTTCTCCCTTTGGCCTCTTTATTAGTAATTGAGCAACTCTTGCTTTTGTTCCTCTGGCTCCAGGCCACCTTTGTGGCAGTGACCTTCAGGCTTGTTAAGGACTGCAGTTTTGCCTGGGGCCCTCCTTCCTTATAAAATTACACAACACTCAAACCTTGGAAGCAGCCCCAGATCCACTAATTCTTTTGACAAACTCTTGGCCTCATATGCTGCCTTTCAGCCAAAGTTTAGCTTTACAGGGTTTGTCACTGAAATTAATTTGGCCATTTGCCCTTTATGCCTGGAATCAAATGATACTATGCCAGACTTATTCCTAGATAAAGTATAAAATCTCAGCTGGAGAATCTTTTGGTACTGGGGATCAAACTCACATCCTTGCGCTTGTCAGAGAGGTGCTTACTCCGCTGAAGTAAATCCCCAGCCCCAAAAGTTTTTATTGTTCCTGCTGCTGAAGGTCAGTGGGTAATAACAGCTGCTGGTCCTTTTTGTGGAACTCTTGCCCTGTGACAGGTACAGTGCTGCTCAGTGCTTTGCATGCATCGTCCCTCCCAATCTTCACAACCTCTTAGAAGCAGAAGGCATCCAGAACTGAGGCCCATGACCTCAGCTCTGCCTTGGTCATTATATAACTAGTAAATGACCAACCAAAATTGGAACCTTGCACTTTTTAATTTTCGTGTTATGTGCTACATCTATGGAAAAGAGAAAGCGAGAAGAAAAGACCATTGGATTTCAAGAGAACATAAAATCAGAGCCTGAGTCAGATAAAATTAGAGAACCCAGGGAACTAATACTACCCTCTTTTTTTTTTTTTTTTTTTTTTTTTTTTTGTCTTTTTCATTTTTATCGGTACCGGGGATCGAACTCACGACCCCCTGTTTGCAAGGCAGGTGCTTATGCTGCTGAGCTAAATCCCCAGCCCCTACCCTCTCATTTTAAAGTAGCAATGATTGCTGTCTATTCTGAGAAATAGTAAGATAACTTGAGCAGAGAAAATAGATACTGATGGGTGACAGGAATGAAAGGTTATTTCCTTTTTTAGATCTAGGTAACATGGCTGTTCAAAGAATTATCCCAGTTTTCCTCACTGACCTTAAGCTGTGGAAACAAATGTGTACTCTTTTTATTTCAGACTTCATTATCCACAGTAAGTAGATATCCACTGCCTACTTGAGATTACTTTAGGTGGTAATTTTCACCCTGCAAGGAACCTGTAACCTTCAGAAAGATTATTTGAAAAGAGTAAGGCACAGGAAACATTGAATTTGGTCAGTCATGTGTTCAATGAATTCCTTCTCTGCAAAGCAGCATCTTTGGAATAGTGAGAAATAAAAATAATTTGATAGGTGGCCTCTGCCCTCCTGTAGTTTACAGTCTAGGTTAGCAAAACTGCCAGGCATAGAATTAAGTAGTTCAAAGGAAAAATCCCAATTAGGGAAAGCTGGAATGAGATTTTACTGAGTGAAAAAATGGTCGAAGGGGCAGAGGTATTCGGAAGAATTTAGTTGAGAATATGGAGGCATCATTGAGAGTCACGGACTAGATTAAATTTGGCTCATCTTAAAGCCAGGCATCATGGCACGTGCCTATAATCCCAGCACTCGGGAGGCCAAGGGGGACGGGGGTGGGGGGTGGATTCATGTAAGTTTGAGACTAGCCTGGACTACAAAGTGAGTTCAAAGCCAGCTTGCATTGCACGGTGAGACCCTGTCTCAAAAAGACCCCCTCCCCAAATTGCTCATCTAAAAGTGATAAAAAAATGTTCAAAACTTCATTTTTAATATATATTTTTATTAGTCTTTTTGAGATAGGGTCTCACTATGCAGATTAAGCTGGACTTTAACTCACTTGTAGCCCAAGCTGGTTTTGAACTTGATATGATCTCCTGCCCCAGCCTCCTGAGTGCTGGGATTACAGGCATGCCCCACCATGCCCAACTTTCATTGGGATTCTGATGGAGAGTTTATGTAAATACTGTGCAGCTTGATAGTTTTGGAATTTTTTATGGATTTTTTCCTTTTTTAAATTTTTTTTATTTTTTGATTTTGGTATTGGGGATCAAACTTACAACCTTACATTTGCCAGGCAAGTGCTGTGCTGCTGAGCTAAATCCCCAGCCCCTTTAGAGATATTTTTTAATTTTTAAAGGAAACATTCCTAAACATATAAATACCAGTCTCTACTTCCTTCCCGGCTCTCAGGATTAAATATTGTGTAACTTGCTATCTTATATAAGTACCCTTAGTATTAGTTAAATTTTTGACTTCTTCCAGCACTATTGACAAATCCACGGAAAGCTTTTCTAGCACTTCCCTTCTGTTAATAAAGGTGTCCCCAAGTGTCCAAACTCTGGATGATGACATATGCAAACATTGTTCATACTCTGAGGAGTCAGCTGCCAAATGCTAACAAGCAGAAATTTCACATAACTCAGGCCTCTGGGGACACACGCCTCAGCTGGAGCAAAGCCAGAAATGTCTGTGACTGCAGGTGCACTTAGGCACATTGGGACCTGCTGGAACAGCAAGCTGGCCTCCCTGCAGTTGATTTAGGGTTGAGCTTTTGCTGACATTTGCAGCTTGGAAAATCCTTTCTACTAATTGCAAAGAAGGTTCTGCTATAATGACTTTTTTTTCTGATGTATTTTTTCTCAATTTGAATTCTTCATTTGTGCTCTGGATGCCTCCCAATCTGTGTTTCTTGTTTTCACCCCTGATACAGGAACCTCTTTGGAAGTGTGTGCCTGCACATGATTATACTGTCATAGAGTGTCTTGCATGGTTGTGGCTTAGCAGCCTCAACATACACTTCCTGATCAACCAAGTTAAGTCTTCTTTTATAGGAATTGGTATACACTCTTGCTTGTCCCCTGACCCTGCCCACGTGAAGTCAGGAATTTTGCTTCTGCCGAGAACTTGCCTTCTCACAGTGTGGTTTCTGGACCCTCATTTTGAGGTCTGACTGGACCAAGAGGCTAGGAGAACTAAATCTTTCTCTGCTTCCTCACTGTGGCCTTGGGGCCAAAATTTGACTCTCTGGTCCTCAGTTCCTCTAGCTTAAAAGCTGTGGATTACATCACTAATGTGGTTTGGATAAAACTAGTCTCATGTGCTACAGTGGTTCCATGGCCTTTGGTTATGGGACCTTTCTGAATTGGATGAAAATCATGGACTGCAAAAAATCTTAAGAGACCAAATTTTGTATACAATTTCTGAGTATGTTACATACCCAACAGAAAAGCTTCCAAGCTAAGGAAGTCAGGTCTATAAAGTCCAAACTCTTCAACAGATGATTATATGAAACTTTTCACACTCATCTCCTGCCATTTCTATTGATCCTGTTTTGTTCACATTGGAATTGTGGCATCTTCCTAAGTAACCATCTATGATGGTGAATATTGATTGACTGAGCTAAGAGATGCTGGTGAAGTATCTCTGGGTGTGTCTGAGGGGATGTTTCTAGAGCATTTCCTTGGTAGACTGAGAAGATTGCCCTCACTAACACTGGCAGTCCAGTTGAGAGCTGGAATAGAACAGAAAAGCAGAGGGATGGTCAATTCCTCTCCCTGAGTTGGGAGAGCTGTCTGTTTCTCAGGCTTCGTCCCGATTTTTTTTTTTTTTTTTTTTTTTTTTTTGGTCTTTTTTCCTTTTTATCGGTACCAGGGATCGAACTCATGACCACCTGCTTGTATGGCAGGTGCTTATGCCACTGAGCTAAATCCCCAGCCCCTCGTCCTGATTTTCTGTCCTTAAGATCAGGACTAAATGACATCATCACTCCCAACCTCTCAGTTTTAGAATTGCGCCATTGACTTCTGGTTCTCAACCCTAAAACATTCCTCAAGTATCTTTAAGGCCTGCCTCTTGTGGCTACAAAGCTTAAGATGGGTTGCCTCTGATTACAAGGCAAGTAAACAAAGGCTTGGGTTCATGCCTCAAAACCTGTGTTCACTCTGTGCCTTCCACTTTACATTGTCATCCCAGAAGTTGACCCCAGGTCTAACTAAGTGGTCTTTTTTTTATTGTACTCAAGTTTTCTACTGTCTCTTTAACCACACGGTATCACACCTAGTTGGTCGGTTTTCTGTTTTCCTTTCTCAGAGACCACAAGCTCTCAGCTGTGGTATATTTTATTCAGCTTATCTCCAGGGCTTCAAAAGAAGCCCAGCACATGGCTGCACGTTCAGTACAGACCCAAGCAATGCAAGAATAACCTGCAGCAAAAATAACATGCCACCTCGTCCTGCAGGCTTATGAAGTATTTTTCCGTGTTGCGTTTGCTTCCTGGGCCCTTGATAGAAGTCCAGAGTCTGGGGACCCATGGGGAACCAGCAAGGTGATTATGTTAAGTGGGACTCCTGCAGAGTGGAGCCACCCAAATCTGGTGTGCTGTTAGAGACCGGACCGCATTTTCCCCTCCCGGAAACTGCCGCGCCGGCCTCTCCCCGCCCCTCTGGGAGGTGGGCGTGGCCCTCATGAATAATAAATCGCCATGGGGGAGTGGCTGGGCCCGCCCCCTCGAGCGGGAAGGGGGAAGCGCAGAGGCTGTCTGACTGGAATGAGGGTAGCTGCGGCGACTGCGGCGGCGGGAGCGGGGCCGGCCATGGCGGTGTGGACGCGGGCCACCAAAGCGGGGCTGGTGGAGCTGCTCCTGAGAGAGCGCTGGGTTCGAGTGGTAGCAGAGCTGAGCGGGGAGAGCCTGACCCTGACGGGCGACGCCGCGGCGGCTGAACCCGAGCCCTCCCTGGGGCCGGCGGCGGCCGCCTTTAACGGCCTCCCGAACGGCGGCGGCGCCGGCGACTCGCTGCCGGGGAGCCCGAGCCGAGGCCTGGGGCCCCCGAGTCCTCCCGCGCCGCTGCGGGGCTCCACGGGTGAGGCGGGCGCGTCGCCGCCGGTGCGCCGGGTGCGGGTGATAAAGCAGGAGGCGGGCGGCCTGGGCATCAGCATCAAGGGCGGCCGCGAAAACCGGATGCCGATCCTCATCTCCAAGATCTTCCCGGGGCTGGCGGCCGACCAGAGCCGGGCGCTGCTGCTGGGCGACGCCATCCTGTCGGTGAACGGCACGGACCTGCGCCAGGCCACCCACGACCAGGCCGTGCAGGCGCTGAAGCGCGCGGGCAAGGAAGTGCTGCTGGAGGGTGAGCGAGCCCCGCGGGCGGGCGGGCGGCCGCGGCCTGGGTTCGCGGGCGCACTTTGTTTCTGCCACCTTTTCTGCGGTTCCTCTTTCCTAGGGCTCTGAGTATGGAAAAAGTGATGCTCCTTGTAGGAAAAGTTGGGCGACCATCGAAGTATTTCTTGCAGCCCCTAAGGCACACTCGATTGAGATTTAGTCAGAAGTAGCCGCGTGTTACTTTCCCCGCTCTGCACGATAAGCTGACACTAAGAACTAAGGGGAGGCCCTGAGTTCTCTAGATCTCCTTTTGCCTGTTGAGAAGTGCGGGGTTGGAGCTTTCTTTACTCCTGGCTCCCCAGGCGGGTGCATCTATTTAAAAATAAATAAATAAATGAAGTTCGTCCACGCCAGTGCCAGCGGTATGTTTGGGCAAACCACCAGAGCGCTGGTTAATTTATGGGAATTTAACCCGTCATTGGCTCTCAACAATAACCCAAGGAGATCATAGCACTTCATTGAAGCTAGAGAGCTGAAACAGCAAGTTTGTGTGGTTAATGAGCCTTGTTTAACAGTGGAGGCTCACGTGTTTGAACATTACTGCCAACTACAGTTTTGCCTCTTTTGCAAGAGACTGGTATCAGCTTCCTACTACTCACAGGCTTGCTGCCTTAAGAGTAGTAGACTTTATGAATGATACATCGCAAGATAGATATGAATAGCCAGGATTATTTTAAGTATATAGGTGATCCGTGACCTGTTTTTGTTTTGTGTGTGTGTGTGTGTGTGTTTCCTTTTTATCGGTACCGGGGATCGAACTCGCGACTGCCTGCTTGCAAGATAGGCGCTTATGCCGCTGAGCTAAATCCCCAGCCCCCCGACCTGTTGTTTTTTTTTTAATGATGAATTTATGGAACTAATAAGTTAAATTTCATCTCCAAAGACGCCTGCATTTTGGAGGTGATAGAATTTTTTGTTCTTTTTTGAGTCAGGGTCTCACTATGTAGTCCAGGCTGCCTTGAACTTACTGTCTAACCCAGGCTGGTCTCGAACTCCCAGCGATGTTCCTACCTCAGCCTCCCACGTGCAGGAATTACAGGTGTATGCTGTCACGTGCAGCAGTGATAGTTTTGTAAATGAAAAGTCAGTTGATTTAATGTTTTGAGCAATCTGCTTGCTGTCACTGGTGATTCAGTCTTTGCAGAAGCATTTATTGGGGCTGTACAGAAGAAAACATAAAAGAAAATGCTGTCCCTACTTAGTCTATAATTGGGGAAATGATTTTAGAAATGCAAAATAACTAATAAGAAAAAAAAAACATGACCTATGTGTTGCAAACTGTATATAAATGCTGCGGGAATACAGTTAGGAAGTAGTTGGTGGAAATGGGCTTGCACGGGGAGACTGTTTTCAAAAAGCCCAATCTTGAGTCAGGTACCCCTGGATGGGAGCAGGGTGGGGAAGATAGGCAAAGATGAGTCAGGAGGAGGGATTCCTGGCTCTGGAAGAACTGGAGGGAAGGGCCAAGGTGGGTTGAGGTGGAGCCAGTCATCAAACCAAAAAGCCAGAAGTGGAACTGGCAAAATATTTTCATTTTTTAAAAACTAAATCTGCTTATGAATAGTTGGAAGTTTGCAAAGAAATGACTTCATATGCTTCAGTTGTGAAATTTTCCAGTGTCCCACCTTTACATTATCCTATTTATAAATCTTAATTATGTCCTACTTATAGATACAGCTAGACACTGCTCACAAATTAGAGATAATAAAAGGAATAAAATTAAGCCTCTGTGATCTCAGCACCTGGAAGGTTGAGGCAGGACAATCATCTTGAGTTCAAGGCCAGCTTGGACTACATAGTTCCAGACCAGTCTGAACTACATATAGAGTAAGAAAAGGAATAAAATTGCAGATTTTGGCTTTGTGTGTTTATAAAAAAAAACTGTTATTTTAAACGTGTTCTTTAAAATTGGTGTAGCCAAGCATTTGGTTACAAATTCTTCAACACAGAATACTGAATGTTGGCAGGATGTAGTGTCACACCTGTAATCCCAACACTCAGGAGGCTGAGGCAAGAGGATCACTGTGAGTTGGAGGCCAGTGTGGGCTACAAAGTAAGGTCAAGGCCAGCCTGAACTGCATAATGAAACTGTCCCAAGAAGACAAAAAAAAATTTTGTTTTTGAAGTTCATATAATTTATGTAGGACTCCAGTGATAGGTAGACAATTCAACCTTTTATATTCTATTGAAAAAATAAAACAGAAACTTCTTGTTTATAGTTTGAACCCATTATTTATACTAGTGAAATAAAAACCATCTAGTAATGCTTCCTAGTATTTATTAATTTAAAATAGACCCAGTTGCTTTTATAAAGATTTACAGATGACAGTAGAATAATGTTTATCAAATGCCTTATTATCTAAGACATTTTTTTCTACTTTATTTTCCCACTTTGTACAGGGCAAGCAGCTTTTGTCCTCATAGGTGTGGGAAAGTTTGTGGGTTTATGCTGGTGGGTTTTTTTGGTTTGGTTTGGGGTTTTGGGTTTTTTGGGTTTTTTTGAGACAGAGTCTTGATACATAGTCCAGTCTAGCCTTGAATTCACTGTGTAGCCCAGGCTGGCCTCAGACTTTCAGTGATCCTCCTGCCTCAGCCTCCCAAGTGCTGGCATTACAGGCACATGCCACCACACCCAGCTATGCTGGTATATTTTTAAAGCAAGGGATATAAAAATAAAATTGCTTAAAATACACAAAATCATGGAAAATTTAATGAACCAGGCATTTAAAATTGACAGCTGGTGTCCTACCCAGAAGGCCACTTTTTAAAGAGTTTAGCCCATACCTGACATCCCAACTGTGTGGGAGGCTAAGACAGGAGGGTTGCTTGAGCCCAGTAATTCAATGCACCCTGAACAACATATAGTGAGATTCTGTTTCAAATTTTTTTAAAAAAATAAGGCTGGTCGGGGGCTGGGGATTTAGCTCAGCAGCATAAGCACCTGGCTTGCAAGTGTGTGGTCCTGAGTTCAATCCCTGGTACTGATAAAAAAAGAAAAAGACAAAAAAAAAAAAAAAAAAAAGACTAGGCATGGTGCTACATGCCTATAATCCCAGCACTCCAGATGCCGGAGGATCCCTGTGAGTTTGTGGCCAGCCTGTCTCTAAATAAATAAATTAAAAGGTAGTTTATTCTCAGTGATTAAAAGTTTTCAAACTACATTGTCCTTCCATTTGATACCCAAAAATTTGAGAAGCTTGCCTTAACCTGGCACACTGCTGGTTTTTTTTTTTTTTTTAGGGTGTGGGCAGGGAACTTCAGGCATCCTCTTGCCACCCCTGTGCCAAGGAAAGCTGTGTCTCTAAGGTTGGGCAACTGAGTTAAGAGAGTTCTTTTTTATCTCAAGGATTTGGAGAGTTTTCTCATTCATTCATCCATCATTCAGCTCTTTTTGGGGGGTAGGGTAGAAATATTCATCATCAAACATTTGTTCTAAACTTTCTGTTTTCTTTTTTTTTAATTTATCGGTACCAAGGATAGAACTCACGACTGCACACTTGCAAAACAGGCGCTTATACCACTGAACTAAATCCCCAGCCCCTCTTTCTTTCTTTCTTTCTGTCTTTCTTTCTTTCTTCCTTTCTTTCTCTCTTTCTTTCTTTCTTTCTTTTGATGGCTAGTAGTCTTGGAACTCACTATGTAACCCAGTGTGACCACAACTTCTGGTGATTTTTCCTGCCTCAGTCCCCTAGGTTCTGGGATTACAGATGTGTGCCACCACAGCCAGCTCAACTCTTTCCCTCCTTTGCTCCCTCCCTTCTCCCTCCTTTCTCTCTCTCTCTCCCTCTTCCCTCCCCTCCCCCCCCCCTCTCTCTTAGGAGGTGAATTGGTTAGTGAATTTCATTTGGTTAGTGAATTTTTTTTTTTTTTTTTTAGTTTATGTCCAACCATTCTGGCCAAAAAATGGTGTAATCAGCTAGGGACAGTGCAGTTACCCACATTAGAAGACTGATGAAAAGTAGAATGCTTATAGTTTAGCTAAACAGTATGACTGTAACAATATAAGGGAACATGGAATGAGGGTGGCTAAAAACAGGATCCTTAAAAAAAAAGGACTCCTTAAAGAGAGCATTGATTTAATTTGTGGTATTTTCCATGGCTCCATCCTCCTACCACCCCAATTACTGCTGTTCTCTACGGAAATTCACATTTCCTGCATGCATAAAGGAGAGGCGCTACAACCTTGACTCCAAGAAAGAAATTTTTTTGCAGTACTCAGATTTGGGGCCAGATTATTCTTTTGTAGGAGCTTGTCCTGTGCACTCTTAAGATGTTAGCAGCAAATTCACCTCTCTCTGAGCCAGAGGCACATGAAGTTACCTGATTCCTGCCTTGGGGAAATTTAGAGTTGAGATAAGAGAAGGAAAGGGATAAGAAAACAAAACTAGTAAAGGACAAGGGGTTGAAGGAAGGGGAGGGGAATGGGTGAAAAAGAAGATATATCATGTAGAGGCATAATAAATTCCCTATGGTGAATTTATTGTATGTATCTAAAAATACCCATGAAATTTTTTTAAATGCAAAAAGAAAAAAACCCCCAAACTTTAGGACTAAGTCTAGAGAGAGGGTGCACAGCATAACAGAGAGAGAGATCTATGCGGGTCCAAAGTGGGAATTAGAGGTTGCAAATGCTCAGGAAAAAGTTGATGGAGAAGTTAGTGCTTCAATTGAGTTTTCTCCTGACATAGCTGCCACCAGTCAAGGCACAGAGGTAGGAGACATGGACTTAGCGCCCTGTAGGAGTAGAGAACAAGTAAAGACTTTGTGGTCAGACGTGGGTTTGTTTCTGGCCGGAGGTTTGTAACCACTAGGCAAGTGACTTCATCTTGGGACATGCTCATCTGTAGAACCAGAAGGGTAATAATATCTCCCTCATAGTTACTCATCTGACAGTTGGTTTCTTTATTAGGCACTGGGAGTATAGCAGTGAGCAACAATAAAATTGTCTGAGGAAGGTAGGACAGGGTC